TTCTGGAAAGTCCTGAAGAAGCACAGACGTTCTCCCTCCATTATGAATCCTCAGAACTCAACCTGACCCTCGAAGGACTGAACAGGTGTTCCTCCTGCCAGGAGAGATGGGGGCTGATTTTGTGACTGAAACTCTGTGGCCCCGCCCTGGGCAGGGTGGGGAGGCAACGCCAGCTGGATCACGTACCTCAGGAATGCAGGAGGGTCTTGCCAGGATCTCCAAGACATCTGGAAAGGAATTTGGTCTCTCTGGCCTCAGTTTCCAGGTGGGCTCCCTGGAGGGGCAACAGGTTCGTGGTGGAAAGCCAGCAGCGGTGTCTGGGGTCAGTGAGCCATCAGCCCCCAGGTTCATTTCTTGGTTGAGGCTAAAGAGCTGGGTCTCCATGAAGCTAGAAGCTGCCTGACGCGTGGGCAGGTAGATGACCGGAAGGGCCCCAGCCACAGCCTGTTGCACTAGTAGCTGTCCAGTGAAGACAAACACAGGCGGTCTGTCACGGCAAAGCTGACAGACACCAGTGACAGCAGAGGTTCAAACCAAGAGCTCAGGCCCAGGATGACTTCCGCCCACCGGCTGCCTCCCTAATGTCACCGCACACCAGAATAGGGACCTAGGCATGAAGGCTCAGTTCTGTCACCACTGCAGAGAGCAGCAGCTATGCTTCCAAACACCTGTGGTTCACCCTGACCCCGTGCCACCCTCGGTGCCACTGGTTTGGGAGGCTCTTGAGCCTAGTCAGTAAGGCTACTCGGTCCCCTGCTCTGGTGCTTCTAGAAAGGCCTCTGGGCTCTGCAGGGAAAACCTGGGCCTCTGAGAGGAGCTGGACTCACTTGCACTGTGCACGCCGCCCCGTGGGAGCCCGGGTCACACATGGTGAAGAGCGGCTGACCTCACAGATGCCTCCTCTTTAGGCACGAAGTGGATTTTGTCTGATGGGGAGATTTTGTCTGCTGAGGCTCTTGCCCTGGGAACAGCCAGTTTCTTAAAGACTCATTCCGTGTTCCCGATCTCTGAATGTGTGCTTCAGGTTGTCCTGTGAATGAGGGCAGTGCGTCCCAAGCGTCATGTCTGTGTGACAGCTGCAATTCTTCCTCTTTTTACCTTTTTACCATTTTTCACTAGAAACTCAGGTCAGCATGGAGGACCCAGGTTGTCTCCTAGATCCTGGTTGAGGTGACAGCAGAAATAACTCAGCAGGAGGGCCACTCAGCCATCGCTTGCTGATCCACACATCCCCTCACACCCCGTCCTGCGATACCCACGTGCATGGCCACCGCACTCCTTTTTCTGATGTGCATGCGTGTGTGCGTGAAAATGTTGGGAATGGAATCAGAGTTTAGAGCCAATAGCTGTGCACTGCTGTGCAGAGGGGGTGGAGAAGGCAATGAGGACGCGTCAGCCTTGTGCCTGGGAGGTGGTCCTCCTCTGCAAGCTCACGTCCCTGCCTCAGGGAGGCCGTGTGGCACAGCCCGCCTCTGTGCACCAGCACTCCTTCAGCTCCCTTGCTAACCTCTGAGCACTTTGTGGCCTGGTAATCTCAACTAACGCAAAAGTGGGACAGTGGTGCTCGGCTGGAGAGGAATGTGGGCGAGCCCAGGGCAGAATCCGCAAGGCAGAGCATGGCCCACCACAGGGAAGCAGCTCTGTGATCTGCAGCTTTGGGGACGCAGTGACGTCCGGGGAAGGCTGCACTGCTGAATTTCAAACACTCTGGGTGTCACTGAGGACTGTGATGTGAGCATTCCAGGGCTGAGATGACTAATGAGGGCTCTGTCCTCGGAGCACTGGGAGGTGTCCTGTTCTTAGGGCTTGGCTTCTGGAACAGGCCTCGCTGAAGCTCACAACAGCCAGAGTCGTGTGTGCTATTGTAGGTAAAATGTGCCGCCTGTCGTGGTTTGTGTGGCCGTGAGCTCCAGGACATGCAGGCCCTGGTATGCACAGGGTACATTCATAGGACAAACCCCCAGGTTGATGTTTGACTTTAAGAAATCCAGTCTTTGATCAAACTTTCCCAGAAATTATTTCTCTTAGGTATGGAGAGCCAATGCACACGCTGTCTCAGTTATTTTGAGTGACTGGGCGCTGTGGCACACACCTGTAATCCCAGAGCCTGGGGAAGTTGAGGCAGGAGGGTTGCAAGTTCAAGGCCAGCCTCAGCAACTAGTGAGACCCTGTCTCTAAATCAAAAAGATTGGGGATGTACGTCAGTGATAAAGCACCCCTGATTCAATTCCTAGTGCCAAAAAAGAAAAAAATAAATAAATCATTTTGAATGAAAAAAATAGATTGTTGTAGTACTTTGCCTCCTCTGAGTTCAAACTGAATAAATAAGTAGATGAGAGAACTATGATTTGTTGAGTTTGATATCATGTGGACCTGGGGACCTGTGCCAGTCGTAGTTTCTCTCCCAGCTCCTGGGTGTGCAGACTACGTGCTGAGTACATGTGGCAGAGGGAAGACTGGCACATCAGTTAGCTGAGCACTCCAGAGACCTACTTCCCGCTTTCTGGGTTAAAGGTTGTCCACCGCTTATGCACATAATGAGATCTCAGGCCTGACCCACTTTTGCCCACTATGTACCCCTTTTACAGACTTCTCATAAGCACGGTGAGCTCTTAGCAGCGGGAAGCTCCAGGCTATGAAAACAGGACCACTTGGGCTTCAGGAAACAAAAAGCTCAACAAAGGAGTAACTTGAAGAAGGGCTAGTTGCGTGCTGACATAAAAGGGCCAAGGAAGGGTGATCCCCAGTTTGGTTAGCCAGGACATGGAAATGCAACTCAAGACCCAGTCTTGCTCTCTTCCTGCTCACCTTGTCCGAGGTCTCGGTCATTCCATGTGGTTCATGGGGATGTGATGTGTGGGCAAAGAAGAAACATGTTTTTGCTTATGCATTGATTTATAATGGTGAGGAAAACTCCCCCCAAATCCCACCCACTCTCAGGTCACAATGGCCAGGGTTGTGTCATTTGCCAGAAAAGGATCACCTTGATAGTGACCAATTCAAGTCATCCCCCCAGCTGGGAAGGGGCTGTCTGGATCACATGTGTATAAAGAGCCTAGCACCTAAAATTTCCATGCTCAGCCTGCCATTAACAGACAAGACAGGAGTGGCTTCAAGTAGCAGGCTCCTGGGAAAAGTCACCGTTGACTTTGTCCTTCTGTGCTGTTCCACCATCAGCCACTTTTATGATTAATGTTTTGAATGTGTGGTTATGTCCTAGATGCTCCTTGGGCAGCTGTGCAAGAAAGGTGACCCAGTGGCTCACCGGTCAGTGCGTGGTGGGGTCCTGGAGTTCATCTCCCAGCTTGACGCCCCTGAGGCCAACACAGTCTCTCCGCTTGCTTCAGCTTAGTGTTTTCATCTGCAAAATTAAATTAACAACTGTAGTGGTTTAGATGAGGTGTCCCCAAAAGCTCACCTGTGAGACAATGCAAGAAGGTTCGGAGGAAAAATGATTGGGTTATAGCCTTAACCCAATCAGTGAATTGATCCTTGATGGATTAACTGGTAACTGGAGGCAGGTGGGGTGTGGCTGGAGGAGGTGGGCACTGGGGGCGGGGCCATGGGGTACATATTTTGTATCTGGAGAGTGGAGTCTCTCTCTGCTCCTGATCATCATGTGAGCTGCTCTGCCATGCTCTTCTGCCTTGATGTCCTGCCTTATTTTGAGCCCCAAGGAATGGAGGCCACTTATGGCCTAAGACCTCTGAAACCATGAGCCCCTAAATAAACCTTTCCTCCTCCCAGTTGTTCTGGTCGGGTCCGTTAGTCACAGCAGTGAAACAGCTGACTGACACAACAACCCTTTCCACTCACTGCCTCACGGGGTATTGGACCTTTGCTGGCAGTAAAACAAAGTCCCATATAAATAGGATTGTGTGCATTATTAGGATCCCGCTGTCTTTTACCAGTCAGGTTAACGCTGTCCATTGCCCAGTCGTGTGTTGTAAAATCAAAGCAGGGATGAGAAAAGAGGATCCCATGCCCAAACCTAAGTGTATTGAACGGATCCCACTAATGGGAGCCGGGTTTTCGTAGCAGGGTCCTCTTATAACACCACGGAGGTGTGAAGACCCAGTGGAAGAACAGTTGGCCTCCCTCCTGTCCTGCCAGAGAGGTAGACTGAGAAATGTGTTCTGACCTCAGAGGGCCCTCTCTCCTGTCCCTGATCAGAAAGCTCCACACAGCCCCTGCCCGGGGTTGCACCCTGTCAAACCTTCCCACATACCTCCTAGCCAATCCCCTAATTCCTTGAGCCACTGATCTCAGATATTACCTGCACAGGTAAAGTATTCAGAGAAAATAACAGTTGACATCTCTTGGTATATGCACTTAAAAAGAAGTCTTTATGGGGTCATGCAGAGGACCACAGCTTTATCAGACTAAGAAGGAGCACCTTCTCACATCCCTGTTCCTCAAGTGCTTCCTGCTGTCATGACACTCTTCACGGGCTTCCAGAAGGACACCCAAACATCCTCTGGACACTTCTCTCCCCACCTGCTGGGTCTGCGAGTGGCTACAGGCCTTCTGCTTGTGCCTGGACTCAGCCTCTCTTACCCATGTGAGCTGTGAGCACCTGGGATCGAGAGAGGCTGCCTATGTGATGGGCCTTCCTGGGGCAGCGGGGTCTGCCTTCCTGGACACAGGCAACCCGAGGCACTGGGTCAGACCTGAGTTTGTAGATGTGATTCTCTCCAATCCATTGACGTTGTTACTTTCCAGCATTTTGGTTTGGGATCTGTTAACAGTTCAAAGACCAACAATGTTTCTGTCTACAGATTTGTTTTCTTGGGAGTTTTATTTGTGGACACTTTGGAAAACATCAGTCCCATGTCATTAATGCCAATATTTTCTTGGGTCCTCAGCATTCACAGTTCGTCCAATGGGCATGGTCACACTAAGTCTGACCTCCTGGGAGAGAACGTGTGCTTCACAGTCAACCTGCTCCCATAGACAGCGACACAGCTCCTGCCTTTGTGACGCTCCCTGTCTCCCCACAGGTCTGTCGACTTGAGCGCCATTTGTCTCCTGAGCAGTACCGGGGAACCCTCTTTGCCGATCAGCCCATGATGTTCATCACGCCGGACAGCAGCCCGCCGAGGGCCAAGCTGTGTGAGCTGGTCCTCCTGTGTGGAGGCCAAGTCAGCCAGGTTCCTCGCCAGGCCAGCATCGTGGTCGGGCCCTACGCTGGGAAGAAGAAAGCAACAACCAAGTACCTGTCGGAAAAATGGGTCTTAGGTAAGACTCAGGTGCAGAAAGGGGTGGGTCCAGGGGGCTCCTGTGGGGGACAGAGGGCTCCTGATGATCCCTAGGCCCTCGCGAGTTCCCTGCAGAGCCACTGTTCTGTGGTTCCAGCCATGAGGAGTCTTCAAGGGATGTCACGTGAGCCCGTCCCCGTGTCCTAGACCTCTGCTTCGGCTCACGACTCCTCACAGCTGCCCCTAGAGTCATGTGACTATCCTGCATACCCTGCTCCTTCCTGTCACTAAGGGAGAATTCAAAAGGAAAAGAAACCCCCTGGATTCGCCCATGTGGCTCCCAGCTCGTGTGGAAAGCCTGGTCCACCCAGCCACATGGAGCTGTCCGGCAGGCGGGTGGTGTGACTGTGGGTGCAGGGCTGCTGTCAGCTCAGCACAGACTTACGTGAGGTTCTCAGAGGACAAGGTGGCCAGCCAGACACCCTGACCGCGGGGTCTGTCCTGCATTGTGGTGACACGGCGGCCTCATCTGTTGGGCCACCTCAGAGGCTGTGGGTCTGCTGGGAGGAGCAGGTGGGGAGGATGGGGCAGCCAGGACATCGTGATGGGTGGGCGCCAAGGAGTGGGGCACAGCCTCTGTGCCAGTCTCACGCCCCGTGGTGGGTTGCACTCTGCAGGGCGATTGCAGGCTCCTTCCTGGGGGTGGCCTCACCTCCTCCTCCTTGGGCTTGTGATCAACTCTTGGTTGGTTGGGTGCCGTGCACCGTGCCACGGACTCAGCAGCTGAAGCAGCAAATGGCTGCTCTCCGCAGTTCTGGAGGCTGGAACCCAGGGTGGGGTGAGGGCAGGTTACCTGCCCAGGCCTCTTGTCTTCTGGCTGTGTCCTCACCTGGCCTTCCCTCTGCTCACGTGCCCCTGGGTGTCCCTGGGTGTCAAATTTCCTCTTCATGGGAAGGCTGCTGTCAGATTGGATCAGAACCCACCCTAATGACCTCATTTCAACTTAATCACTCCAAATGAAGCCACATTCAGAGGGACATGGAGTGGGACCTCAACGTAGGAATCTGAGCCCTGAGTGAACTTGTCGGGTTTCAGCTCCTTCGCCAGCCAAGGTCCTTAGCCTGGCTGCTTCAGACTCTCTACCTCCGCTTCTCTCCCATCCGGCCTCCTTGCCCCCTGTTCCTTAGGCACAGTCCCTTCCACGTGGACCCCCTGAATCCCAGACTCCTGGTTTTTCTCACCCTTTGCTGGAATCAGCCTTTAACAGAGGAGCGGATTCCTGGTTTGTCCAAGTTCCATCTGTATGCAGCCAGGTGCACTCTGTGAACATCTTTTAAACGATTGATGGTCATCCTTGATCGCTTTCTAAAGTATGACCATCAAAGGTGATTTTTCACTCTCTGATATCGAGTATTTTATCTTTTCCCTGAAAACCAACTTCAAAAAAAAAAAAAAAGAATCTAATGCTTTTAGCTATAGTCCAAAAGCTGTTTACTCTTTTCTAAATGCTAAGAATATAACTTTCAAACATCGATGTTCAGAGACAGAGGTTCTTGTTTTGTTTTTTAGCAGTGTTCATTTCAAAATGGCATGAACTGCAGACCAGAACTGTGCTTGGAAACGTGTTTCTCTGAGCTCACTGTGCACATGATTGACATCAGCAGCTAATCTCTCCAGAGTTCGGTAATTGTGTTCTGTACAAAGGCCCCAGTCTGGGTCTGTGCTCTTATTATTTCCAGGTTGGGCAATTGTGAGGGCCCTTCCTGTTGCTCCTGCCTTCTGTGTCGGAGTCACACTCGGTGCCGCCTGCTCAGTTCCTCGGTTATTTCTCCAGCTGGCTCTCTTGCTGGTGGTTATTTTAAGAGATGAGCATCTGCAGGCCCACACCAGGGTTTAGTTTGCCCAAGCCCCTTCAGAACTCTACGTTTTAGGGCTGGGCTGGTGGACCCTGTTTCTGCTGCTTTCCTCTCTCCTAATTGACGTCCTGTTTCTGGCCTCTCATTGATTACAGCCACCTGCCTGTGCCCTTGGCAGCATCCGGGTATTGTGTGTGCTGTAGTCCTGGCTCATGTGAGGGGGTGCCCCTGGCTGGCAGGCACCCTGACCACTGGGTCCTTCAGCGGGCCATGTATTTTTCAAATATTTATTAGCTCATATTTTCTCTTTCTGAATTGAATAACAATTCAGTAGCCCCAGCTGCTACAGGTGATAGATGGCTTGTCCATGCACTCCTGCACAGACCTGCAAGTCACAGCCAGCCAGAGCACTGCACTTCCTCTCCCAACCCGCTCTGCCCCCAGCCTACTTTTGCCTGATAGCTTCACATGGTGGTCAGAGAAGACCATAAGACAGTGTCCCTCACAGAGTTGTCACTCCTGAGCCTCTGACAGAGACCTGTGTCCTTCGAAGACCTTTCCTCCTGTTAACTTCTGTTACTATAAATACTTCTCTTTATCCTCAAAATATGGTTAAGGTTAAAATTAGGAATGTAGCAAATTGTTTTAAAGTATCGATTTGATATAAAACTGGTCCTCTTGTGTAAATCATGAAAGGCAATACTCAAAATTTATGAATTAAGTTTATTCCAACTGGAATATCAGCTGCCAGGTCAGGTGATTCCTTGGGAGACCTTTTTTATTCTTCTATTTTTATTTTTATTTTATTTTTTTTGGTACCAGAGATTGAACCCAGGAGCACTCAACAACTGAGCCACATCCCCCAGCCCTTTTTGTGTATTTTATTTGGAAGAGGGGGTCTTGCTGAGTTGCTTGCGGGCTCTCTAAGTTACTGGAGCTGGCTTTGTACTTGTGATCCTCCTGCCTCAGCCTCCCGATCAGTGGGATCACAGGTGTGCACCACCAGAGCCTGGCTCTTGGGCGCCTTAGGAGTAGTTTGAATAAAGCATTTACTTAGAAGTCTTAAAAGCAACTTTTTGTGTCCACTTTCAGATTTAGAGACTGCCATACAAACTGAAAACTCCAGGCTTTCTTGTTGTTTGAGTAGCTTTGTATTTATTCCTATTGTCTGTGGTTTCTGAACCCCTTGAGGATTGCTCTTTTCTGCCAGGGAGAAAGGTGGATGCCAAAGAGCAGTCTTTCCCCAGGGCCTCCAACAGCCTAGCACCATGACCCATCAGATAAGTTTTGGTCCCTGGACTTTCTGTATTGCAAAAACAGCAAGCCAACTTTCATTTTTTTTGTGATTATTGTACTTATAAGATTTCTTCTAGCCTCAGGCCCAGGGTGACCCCTCAGCATCCAGCCAGTTTTCCCTCCCAGCCCAACGGGTTGCTGCACAGAGCAAGAGCGAGTGGACCTTGTCACCTCATGGGCTCGGCCGAGGTCCACACTCGTTCCTAGGGGATGTCCTCTGTGCCACGCTGCCTCCCAGCCAGGCTGCTTGGAGGGTCAGCAGTGTGTGTCCCCAGAGCCCGTTTTCCCTGAAACAGCTCTGTACTTGGGCCAAGATTCTTGGTGAATCATACCAGAAGGAGAAATGGGGATTTTTGAGATAGCACACTTGTGGGCGCTTGGATATGTGTAAAAATAAACAGGAAAACAGAAACCAGATTCCCGGCACTAAGAACTAAAATGCCACCTTTACCTGGGATGGTAACATTCTGTGTGTGAAAGCATTTTCAGTGGTTGGATTTCCCCCAGCACTCCTGTGAAATATAATACAATTCCAATGTGACATATGGAGACAGAAGACCCTGGGGTCCCAAGGAGCTCAGCTGGTGAGAAGGTGAGCCTGGGGTTGCTGGGAGCCCGCACAAAAGCCATGGTCCGTGGCACTCATGCTGTGGTCATTTCTGTTCACACTTTCGGTCCCCTTGTTGTCACCACGAGGCCAGTTTGGTCTATCTCATGAGCATGTTTCCAGGGTCAGGCACCTCTTATTGTCCAGGCTGTGCTCGGGAGAGGAGACGTACATCTGGGCTGCGTGGGCACGGTGTCATGTTCTCAGGAGTGTGGCCAAGCACAGCACGGCCTTGACATGCGTCCCTCATGAAGAGCATCAGCGTCTTCAGGAAGAGGATCCCTGATGGCACGGGGCCCCTCGCATGCTGGCCTGAATCATTCACTGTCTCCCTTGATGACTGACCAGAAGAAGTGCAGTGACCGTGGCACTCCCGAGGCCTTGGACTTTAGGCTTCAGGATTCGGTGGCTATGTGGGTGTTGTCCGAGGTCCTCTCAGTCCACCTTTCCACGCACAGATAAGGAACTAGTCAGAGAGGCAGGGTCACCTGTGCAGTGGGGCAGTGGCAGAGAGGCCGGCAGCAGGACAGGAGCAGGCCTGCCCCTGGGCCTGCCCGGCTCTTCCCAATGCTGCCTAATTTACCCTTGCCACAGGGTCCAGCCCGGCAGCCCAGCTGCAGCGTTTCAGGTACAATTTCAGAATTATTTTTGCTTTGAATAATTCAGAACCAACGAAATCTACCAAGACAGAAATGAATGACAACTAAAATGCAGTATTTTATAATTCCAAAATCTAATGTTTATAGATTTTTCTAAAATTCAATATGTATGCACATACATATATACAAAGCCTGTGTGTATGTTATATACGTGTATGTAGATATATATGTATGTGCAAAGCCTTTTGTGTTTGTGTATATATGTTACATATTGCAAAGCCCATATTTGTGTGTATATGTTGTATGTATTACTAGTAATATTGTTTTAATTAACTGCTTGCCACAATCTTAGTACACGCTTTGGAAAACTATGGAAAGCGCAGGCTCAGAAGATGATTGCCTGAGCTCTCCTTTAATTAATATGTTGGCCAGCTCATGGTCCTCGATGGTCATCTTTGAATCTCCTAACCTGTTGGGTCACTTTCTAAATTTGCACTTAAAGAACTCAACCCACTAGGTGCAGATTCCATTCAGGATGTAAAAGCTAAAGCCCTTTTTAAAGGCAGGTAGGCAAATGCTTGCTGAGAAGTCCATTTCTGCACATTTACCAGTGTGCCAAAGGCACATTCCTGAGCCTCACTTAAAACAAAGCGGAACCAAAAACCCACTTGGAGTGTAACAG